CACACACACACACACACACACACACACACACACACACAGACAGACAGACAGTGCGCTCTCTGTCACCAGCCTTCTGATGACCATCAACTGCAATTCATCAGCTCATCAATTGGCCCTGCATTAAAGCATTAATGTTGAATTTTATTATTTTTGTGAATTGCACTCTGTTCACAGATTGAAAAGTTACTGCTTACTTGCTTTCAACATGACTGCTTACCTGTTGCCTGCCATTTTTGATTCTCTGCTGACTCCTGTTAACAAACATTCTCGTAATCAACCTGCTCTTCTCTAATGGTCTTCTGTCTTGTGACAGTTTATTGCTGATTTTAAAGCTTATCGAAGTTTAAATGATTTGAATATCTACAGTTCTACATATACACAACATAAGATTGGCCCCTCTGTATTAATTGTGGCCCCTCCTGTGCTCACCAGTTGAGAACATTCTAGAATTGCCCCCGGATGTCAAGCATAACACATGAAATAAACTGTGCACATGTATCTGTGGCCTAATACAATTTTTGTAACCTATGCCATTGTGATAAATGTGTTATCCTTAGTTTCCTGTGACTTAAAGTTAAAGACCATGCAAGAACCAAAAGAAAAAAAAGTTGCCTGTTCTTTGACCATGTGATGCACCGTAGACCTGGATAAACATCAGTTTGACACACATCAAACTATTATGTAAAGGTCTTCCAAAACAGAAGTATTTATATGATTAAATGTGCTGCAGGTCTAAGTAAGTAAAGTTTTAGTTTAAAAACAACTTCACGGGCAAAGTATAAATACAACTGTTTTGGCATTTACTTTTTTAACGTTAGTTAGTGTGTAATGTTGCTGTTTGAGCATAAAGAATATCTGCAAAGTTACGAAGCTGAAAGTTCAATGCAAACGGAGATATCTGTCTTTTAAAATTCTGGCAGTTTAATTCCTACAAAAACGGCTGGTAGGGACTACAACAAGTTACTTCCCGGGTTCGTGACGTAACAACCCCAGATAAACCCCGCCCCCGGGAACACGCAACGAAGGGGGCGAGGCTATGGCCCTGTCCCAAATGGCACCCTAAACCCTCTCGATCTTCCTCTGAGTCCACAATACTATTGTATTCATACTACTGAATACAATAAGCAACCCATATTGGAGAAAGCTGTAAAACACAATGTCCTTTCAACAGTTTTTTTTATATATACCATTTACAATTTGAATATTATGTGTTGGCCTGTACTGTGTACTTGCTATATTACATTCATATTATGCACCATATTGGTAAGTTACTCCCTTCATCAATTTTTATTCTGTTTCATTTTCACTTGTGCCTTAATAGCTTTATATTGGCCTTAGTGGTCATTATAAGTGGTTCAACGCATTCCCATGCTTCATTTATAAGCAGTTGGTACAGCCATTTTACTCTCTGCAATATGCAGTAGGATATACTACATATGAAAGATGTTGCATTATTTGTCTACCAGGTAATACTTGAATGTCAAGATGAATGTAATGTCTTAAAATCTCGTAAAAGCTAATGATATTCAATGAAAATAGTTTCCAGCATTTTACAATAACTATGCATATGCATAAAAATGTTTCTTTCCGCACGGCAAGTCACGCTGGCTGGCGTTGTTCATTGGTCAGGCATCGACAAATAAAAAGACTTAATTTGCACCCCAGCCCCTGGTTCTGCTCTCTCGCATCTGCATTTACGTGCACAATGAGCTTTGCTACAGGAATATCACAAAAGGAGTAGCAAAAGACAAAGCGCTAGAATTTGAAGTTGTACTGCCAGACCTGAGAGGCTGTAAGTGCTGACTTGAGGTTGTACTGTGAAACTCAAAAAGTGCAAACACTTTTGTGTCTGTCATTTTGTTTATGTGAATGTCATTTTACACATTTGTAACTATTAATCTGCAACTTTGAATTCAAAACACGGGTGTTTTGATTATTGTCTGTGCAAATCGAAAGATTCTGCTTTTCACATCAGAGCTGTGATGTCCCACCCGCAAATTACACCTGTTTGCTTCCGTCTTTTTGAGTGAAGCTTCAAACCGGAAATGCTTCCCATAATTTAAAATGCTGTGGACTTGTAAGGAAAAAGGTTGATAGTATATGTGAAAAACAGTGTGTGAGGCTGGTAGTATGTTTGAATTCATAATATTAAAAAAACAGTAAGCAAAAATACCGGATGACCCACTACTTTATGTGAGATTCTGAAGTGAACATTTGATGTACACTTTACTATCCCATGAGGCCACGGGAGGGTTTTTGTCAATGGCAGTGAAGCGATGCAACTCATGCTTGTCATGATGACAATGACAGATGTAGTAAGAAAGAATTTCATTCATACTACCCATATTCATACTGTTTTTTAATACAAATTTGGACAAAATACTCTTGGTGTACTGTTTTTTTGCATACTATATAGTAAGGAAATATTCAATTTTTGGACACAGTATTTTAATTGTATTTCATGATCATGAACAAATTAAGCTTTATAAAAAAAAATGTATATACCATTGATAAAACCACAAAGCTGGCACGGTGGTATGTATAAGACATGGTTGTTATTGTTATTATTTTCTAAAGTAAGCTACATGTTAGATAAAAATACATATGTGACAAAGATGTTTCTGCGACAGCAGCTCTCCAACGTGTAGATACTTTTTGGTGCTCAGTTGTCTTAAAATGATAAGTTATAGATTGAATGTGCCTTCAA